ATCTCCTTCAAACAATGAAATTTCTAGCCTAGGGCCTTTGATGATTGCTTCAGCATACACCGCATTACCTCATTGCGTCAGGTGAACATTTCTCATCTGATCCATCCTAGGAACACTAGGACCTGCCCCAAAATGCTGTCCAAACACACTGAACTGAGGTTGTGTGGTGGAATAGGTGGGTATGTGTTGTGGGGTATGTGTTGTGGAAAGACTTGCCCTGTTCCATTACTTCCAGCTACAAAAGGCATCGAGGCCATGCAGTTGGACATTCTAGGCTGAGTAACATTTGGCTCAATGAAAAATCCTCCCCCTTGACTCATGATAGGAGCAGTACCAGTAAGCATTGGACCAGAACCATCAATTATATCAGCCAAAGCAGTAGTGGCATTCACATCATGAGGAGCTCCACTTACCCTTTCTGAAGCTTCTCCCGTTTCTGGCCTCTTTTCAGGATCTCCTTCACCCAAGCTAGCACACATCACCTTAAGCAGCTTCTTGACTTCAGCCATTTCGTTCTTCAGCCCCTTCAACGCCCCAAGATCCTTCTTGATTGTGGCTATCTCCACTCTCATCTCAGTCAACTCCTCCACACCATCCATGGATTCTTGGGATCGGGTCTTGGTCACCATTCCTCGTCGGTCCTTCCCGGCTACAGGATAGGTTCAGGATCTAAATCCCTCCCCTATTCTCCCCTGCAGCCTGTCTACTGCCGCCAACCTCGAGGCCGGGCTCAGGGATTTTACAGCCTACGCCAACCCTCACCACAGATCGAGGCACGCCGTCACCACCGGATCAGTTCCCCACAGCTCAGGGATTTTACGGCAGCAAATCCGCAGATCGCCACCAACCTTCACCGCACAAGAACTGAGAGCCAAGGAAAGATTCTGCTCTGATACCTATGTCAGGACCTAGGGAGCAGAAATGGACGGATTCAGCACTCGGGAGTAGAAATTTGGGAAAAGTTGGTGGTCGCCGCAAGAACCCTAACACTAGATCTATTCTACTCCTATGAGACAAAGATAATTGAGTTTTTCGTCATATCTTTCATTCCTCATCGGGCTGATTAAGTATCGATTACACTCTTGGATAACTCAGCACACACACAGCTGTAAAGAAAGTTACAGAACAAAACGACAAACGCTGACGACTACAGTGACTCGGACACGCGACTCCACCGTTGGATTTAACATGTATCCTTCTCAGCCGTCAGATCTTCATATTTCCCCTTTCTCCCAAACGTTATCTTCAATTCTTCAGAAAATTCAGAAAGTTCAGATACAGAGCTCTTCCATTTCAGACTTCAGGTCCTGACAGGAGCTCCCGATCGCCGCTCAGGTGAGCTCCTCCTCTCCGTTCTCTTCTCGTGTGTTTGTTGCGTCTCTTGGAGTTGATTTGGGTGGCAGATCAATCTTGGTTGTTGCAAGAACTAACCGTTTTGCTCTGTGAATTGATCGAATTCCTTCTGCTGCCGTTGTTGATTTTGTGCAGTCCGGCTTGGTCGCGGCGTGCTTCCCACCGCTGCTGCGCGTGATCGAGTTCGTGGGCGAAGACGACCTCGACAACATCGGCGAGGGAGAAATCTGGACTTTGGTTGAGACCAGAGGGAGGTCGGTGAGGCTCCTGAAAGAGAAGATCGCGAAGCTTGTGGGCTACGACGACTTCACGATGTGCGTCAGCGCCGGCCGCCATGGGCAGTTCACCCCTCTGCTCATCGACCTGCGTCGCAGCCGGGAGACCCTGAACATCGTCCTCCTCAGGACCAACAGCGAAGGTAAACATCCCAGTTCGAGTATGAATGTTGCTGAATTTTCTGAACAATGTCTATGTGGTTCTGAATTTTGCTGTTGTTGACGAGAAATCTTGTGTTATGTAGTTCAGCACTGTAGATTTCCTAGCATTGCGTTTCTGCCTGTCTGTTGAATTTGTGGAAGATGCAGTTCTGTGTAAAATCTTGTTCCTGCTTGTTGAGTTAGGAAGTGAAATTATGTCTGAACTTATCTGATAAATTTTGAAGTGAAATTATGTCTGAACTTATCTGACAAATTTTCATGTTAGGAATTACCAGAAAATCGTATGCACTAATTCTGTGTATCTTGGCAATAGGACTTATCTGAATATAGCAGACAAGCAGAACCAGTAGTAGTTAATACTATGTGCCTCTAGCTAACGACTACTATTGTTGTTAGGCACAACTAAAATGCATGGTCTAAAACCAGTTCAAGCGTTTATTGTCTGCTTAACTTGCTCTGAAAATGATCATATCAGTAGTTCAGTGGTGAAGTTCAACTTGTTTCGAGTAACATTTTACTTGCAGATTTACTTGCACCGTTTTTATTTGCAAGAGTTGTACTGCTTGTGTATCATACTGTCAATGATTTCTAACTGCGTGATTCCTTTGCTATGGCTGCAGCGGATAATCAGTTGATATTCCCAAATGTCAGTGAAATTGCTGTCAAATGGATCAAGGCGAACCAAGATTGATTTAGTGAATCCTTTTGTGCTGAAGTTTTGACAGGCTCAGGGAACTCGACAGAAGATTAGTGTGTTGGTTAGAGACATATTGAGTGAAATTTTTAGTTCAGCCGATTCTGGAATACAGTTTCATGTTTGCTCAGCTGTAGAGTGGCTGAAAAATCTCAAATTGTCAGGGTGTTCAATGGGTGTATTACCACGGTTTACGTACTTTGTGAACAGGGTTTTCTGACGAAAATATTGGTCATGGTGACAATTAGTATTCATTCCTAGTATGGATTGATGGCAAGAATGTGCTTAACTACTGAAATATATACTGTTCAAGATAAGTGAACTTTGACGAGTGTTCTGAAATCTGATGCATGGTGTTCTGAATTCTGATGTGTGTTAGAATATGCATGGTGTTCTGAATTCTGATTAGTGATGGCAGTAACTGAATCTCCTGAAGGCTGAAGCATTCAGGGCGTGTCCCTGTCCATCTATTTGGGAATCCTGACGGTGCCAATTTGCAGATGCTGCATGCTGTATTGCTGTGCTGAATCCAGTTAGTTGCTTGAGTATTAGTTCCAAAACTTAAGAACAACCGGGCGAAGGACTGATGGATTTCCACCTTGGAATCCTACCAAGTCCTAACTCTGTAAATTCACATCTTGGAAAAGAAGTGGACAGACTCTAATTTCACCCTGCAAATTGACTTCTGACAAAAATATTGATTGAGGTGACAATTAGCTATGTCTAGTATGGATTGATCACAAGAATGTGCTTAATTCCTGCAATACATTACTGGTACTGTTCATTGTAAACTAGGTAGAAATATGTGTATGATTGAGCTCTGAAGAGTGATGCCAGTAACTGAATCTCCTGAAGTATTCAGGGTGCGTCCCTGTCTTTCAATTTGGGATTTTCGACGGTGCTAGTTTGGAGATGCTACATGCTATACGTGGAATTTAGTTAGTTAGTAGCTTCTTTTACATGTTACGGTGATTACCTACACTAAACCAATTGTTAGATTAAAAAAGTAAATAACAGATGATAAGAGAGTTCTTGAAAAGTGAACTACCTTGATGAGTCTAAGATAGTTCAGTGTTAACATGCAGATTGATTGCTTAACATTCTTTTCAAGGCCAAGTTTGCTATATTGATTTTTATAGGGAGGATAAATAGATGTATTATATGGCATGGTCCAAAGAGTAGGGACGTAAAATAGACTTATTTTAGCTATATATATTATGTCGGAAAAAGTACACCGAAGGTCCCTCAACTTGTCATCAAGTTACAAAATCGTCCCCCAACTACAAAACCAAATATATGACATCCCGCAATTTACAAAAACCGTTCACTTTAGGTCCTTCGGCAGTTTTGACCCCGGTTTTATCCTAAGTGGCGGCTGAGTAGGCGTGGGACCCACGTGGGCCCCACATGTCAGCATGACCCACGTCATCACCCTCCTCCCTCTTCTCTCCCTTCCTCATATATCTATCTATCTCCCTTCTCTGCGGCAGTGCGAGGGGGGAGAGGAGGAGGGCGTCGGCGGCCGGCGACGGGCTGCGCGGCGGCGGTGATGGCGGCAACGGGCGACGCGATGGTGGTGGGTGGAAGAGCGGCGGGGGAGGGGCGGCGGCGGAGTAATGCGCGGGAGCGAGGGAGGAGCGGCGCGCGGGCTCCCCTACTGGCCGCCGCCCACCACCCACGGGGCCCACGAGGCGGTGATGGCGGCGGTGGCCGGTTGCGAATGGCGTCCACGGTGGCGGCCGATCGCGAATGGCGGCCGCGGCGGTAGGCACAGGATGGGGGCGGATCAGGAGGAGGAGACACGCGTTACGGCGAGCTTGCTGGCGGCGAGGCGGGCGCTGCGAGCCGGGGTGGAGAAGTCGCTGCGAGGGCGACAGTGCGAGGCGGGAGAGGAGGGCGTCGGCACCGGGCGACGAGGCGGTGGAGGGGCGGCAAGCGGAGGAGCGGCGCGCGAGCTCCCCTGCCGCCCATGAAGCCCACGAGGCAAAACTCCATCTCTCCCCGTCTCGCGCCACTCTGAGCATGGTTGTGCCACTACCCCGTGCCCGCTGCCGCTGCGTTGTCTACGTCGGCAACATCGCATTGCCGCACAGAAGGGAGAGAGAGATGAGGAAGGGAGAGAAGGGTGAGAAGGATGGTGATGACATGGCACGGCTCACACTGACATGTAGTGCTTACATGGGTCCCACGCTGACTCAGCCGCCACGTCGGATAAAACCGGGGTCAAAACCACCGAAGGACCTAAAGCGGATGGTTTTGTAAGTTGAAGGACCTAAAGCATATGATTTTTCAAAAAAAAAATCACGATAAGGTGCCCATGCCTTCAGGCCAGCCCGGTACGGCACGGAGGTGGAGCACGTGGGCTGGCACGGCCCGGCCTGTCATGTAGTTTGGGCCATGCCAGCCCGACAAAACTTGTCCCGGGCATGACCGGGTCTGGCCCATGCCGTGCCAGGCGGCCCATATGGCCAACTATAAGCCGTCCTCTTCCTCCCTTCCCACCCGGCGTGCTCCCCGGGCGCCGCCACCAGAACGACCGCTGCCGGAGCCAACTCCCTCCCCACCTCTCTCTCTCTCTTCCTCCGCCATCCCCGTCCCGTCGTCTGTCCGCCGCCGGCGACTCTCCGATTCGCTCGCGGAGTAGCGGTTGGGCGGCTCCCCCCACTCCCTCTCTCTGCTAAGGTGAGATTTGCAACGAGAAAGATCATTTGGCTTCGCTTGGGATAGGAAGTTTTAGTCCAAAACGAAGATAAATAAATACCAGGTTTTCTGTTCAAAACTACTAATACTTTCTCTCCGGTGATCTGTCTCTAACCCTAACCCAAAGGGGTGGGAGGCACCCATCGATCTAGATCTCTCTTCTGATTCTTCAGAGTAGCAGCCTAGTTGTTTGTGGTGGGGGAGAAGAAGATCCACAGCAATTCAATCCGATCGATCGATCGATTTATGATGAGCACCCGTCGGTTTGTTTATCTGGTGCTGGGGGAGTTTGGCCGCCGCCGCAGCAACTATACGCTGCGCAACATTGACATGGAGCGCTTCTTCCTGCCACGTCCAACCCCGGTGCCATCCGTGGCGTCGGCCGCCGACGCGGTGGAGTATGCTAGCCTGCCATGCCCAGCCATGACCTTCTACCCTCCCTTCTCCAAGTTGTTTGCGAACCAGAAGATGGAGTTCCTCCTCCTTGGAGGCAATCACAGCAACGCGGTGGTCGCCGTCGACCAGACCTGCCGCACCGTCCTCTACGACCCCGGCGAGCACGCCGTCCGCACCATGCCCGCCCTTCCCTACCAGGTGAGGTTGCCTACCACCTCCGTCACCGTCGGGGACGACCTCTACATCCTCGACATGCCGCGCCACGAAGATGACGACGACGACGGCGACGGCTGCTTCTATGGGCTCATCTACGAGGATGGATTGAATGAGGATTGGCGATGCCGCGCTCTCCCCCCGCCGCCACCGCCGCTGTCCGATCTCCATGTCCACTCCTACGCCGTCGTCGGTGACACGGAGATCTGGATGTCCACGCACGGCGGTGGCATCTACTGCTTTGACACGGTGAGCCATGCGTGGAGCACAGTGGCCACCGGCTGGACGTTGCCATTTACCGGTCTCGCCGAGTATTGCCATGAGCACGGCCTTTGGTTTGGCTTCTCACGCAGCAATAGAGACATGAGCAGGAACTTTGTCCTCTCCGCTCTGGACCTCGATGGCGGCTCGAAGCTGCCGGTGCTTCACCGCCTTCCTCTGGAGTTCACACCGCCCGACGCCCTCAATCTTGAAAGCTCATACCTCGTGAACCTTGGACACGGCAAGTTCTGCATCGCCAGGTTCTTCCATACCGATGAGGATCACCGTGACGGCGAGGAGCTGTTCGCCGTGTTAACCGCCGTCGAGGTGGAGCGCTGCGATGATGACGACGATGCTGGTGGTGCCAATGGTGGAGGGCTCCGCATGCTGAAGCACAGGTCTGAGATGTACAAGCTCAACAGCGAAATGATGTATTGGGTGCTTTAGTCATGCGACACTTTAGTTCCAAGGGCCTCAAATCACTGACCAAAGCAATGATTTGAGGCCCTACTTTACTCTTAACTGAGCTAGATCAGGAAGGATAAATGTTTTATCATGTTCAATAGCAGGTCTGCTTTAATGACACAATAATATAATAAAATGGCTTTTAATCATACGAATACGTGTCCGATCTTTTGAGTTGTGTCTTTGTTGTTATTTGTGATCGTTTCGTGATCAGATATGGCACTAAATTTATTTCGTTTCAGTCAATTTTCTGATCGTTAGATAAATAGATGTATTATATGGCACGGTCCAAAGAGTAGGGACGTAAAATAGACTTATTTTAGCTATATATATTATGTCGGAAAAAGTACACCGAAGGTCCCTCAACTTGTCATCGAGTTACAGAATCGTCCCCCAACCGCAAAACCAGATATAGGACATCCCGCCATTTACAAAAACCGTTCACTTTAGATCCTTCGGTGGTTTTGACCCCGGCTTTGTCCTACGTGGTGGCTGAGTCAGCGTGGGACCCCACGTGGGCCCACATGTCAGCATGACCCACGTCATCAACCTCCTCCCACTTTTCTCCCTTCCTCATCTATCTCTCTCTCTCTCCCTTCTTTGCGGCAGTGCGAGGGGGGAGAGGAGGAGGGCGTTGGCGGCCGGCGACGGGCTGCGCAGCAGCGGTGACGGCAGCGACTGGCGACGCGACGATGATGGGTGGAGGAGTTGCGGGGCAGGTGGCGGGGGAGGGGTGGCGTGCATGCGGTAGCGGAGCAGCGGCGCGCGGGCTCCCCCACCGGCTGTCGCCCACCGCCCACGAGGCCCACGAGGCGGTGATGGTGGCGGCGGCCGGTCGTTGAATGGCGGCTGTGGCGGTAGGCACGGGATCGGGATGGATCAGGAGGAGGAGGGACGCGTTACGACGAGCCTGCTGGCGGCGAGGCGGGCGCTGCGAGCCGGGGTGGAGAAGTCGCTGCGAGGCCGACAGTGCGAGGCGGGAGAGGAGGGCGTCGGCGACGGGCGACGCGGCAGCGGAGGGGCAGTGCGCGGGCTCCCCCGCCGGCCGCCGGCCACCGCCCACGAGGCCCACGAGGCAAATCTCCATCTTTCCCCGTCTCGTGCCACTCTAAGCATGGCTGTGCCACTGCCCCGTGCCCGCTGCCGCCATGGCCAATGTGAACTGCCGCTGCCGCTGCGTCGTCTACCTCGGCAACATCGCCTTCCATGCCTCCGATGCCGAGCTCCGCGCCGCCGCTGCCTCGTGGGCCTCGTGGGCGGCGGCCGGCGGGGAAGCCCGCGCGCTGCTCCTCTCCTCGCCGCCCGCACGTCGCCCCTCCCTCGCTGTCCGCCCGCCGCTCCTCCCACCGCCGCCGCCTCGTGGGCCTTGAGGGCGGCAGCCGATGGGGGAGCCCGCGCACCGCTCCTTCCCCCGCTCCCGCGCGTTGCTCCGCCGCCACCCGCACGCCGCCCCTCCCTCGCCGCCCACCCCGCAGCTCATCCCCCACCGCCGTCGTGTCGCCCGTCGCCGGCTGCCGATACCCTCCTCCTCTCCTGCCTCGCACTGCCGCACAGAAGGGAGAGAGAGATGAGGAAGGGAGAGAAGAGGGAGAAGGATGGTGATGACGTGGGTCATGCTGACAGGTGGAGTCCACGTGGGTCCAACGCTAACTCAGCCGCCACGTCGGATAAAACCGAGGGCAAAATAACCGAAGGACCTAAAGCGGACGGTTTTGTAAGTTGAGGGATGCCTTATATCTGGTTTTGCGGTTGGGGGACGATTTTGTAACTCAATGACAAGTTGAGGGACCTTTGGTGTACTTTTTCCTATTATGTCACAACTCAAAGAAGAGGGAGGAGAAATAGACTTATTTTGAAAAATAGTACGATGGGTTGCCCGTACCTTCGGGCCAGCCCGGCACGGCACAGAGGTGGAGCACGTGGGCTGGCCCGACATATAGGTTGGGATGTGCCGGCCCGACAAATCTTGTACCGGACACGACCAGGTCTGGCCCGTGCCATGCCGGGCGGCCCATATGGCCAACTATAACCCCCCGGCTAACTCACGAATTTTTTTTATTTTTAATTTTTTTTATTAAAAGTTTTACAAAAATAATTTTTCATTTTGAAAATTAACAGAAGTGGTCGCCTACCGCCCTCTGGGAGGGCGATTTTTAAAAATCGCCATCCCAGAGGGCGGCGAAAGTGACGTGGCAGACGGCCGTTCGCTCTCGGGCGACGGCCGTCAACGAAATTTGCAGGCGGCCCCCTTGCCGCCCTCCGCTAGGGCGATTTTGTACTGTGCGGGGGGCCGCCTGCAAATGGGCGGCGGGGGGCCTGGAATTTTGCAGGCGGCCCCCTTGCCGCCCTGGGGGAGGGCGATTTTATACTGTGCTTTATATTTTTTTATAAATATCAATAGTTATCAAATCTTTTTATATTGAAAACTATACAAGATTAAAATCTCCAAGACTGGTAAAATACAATTTTATTATTTTTTAGGGCCTATTTGGAATGTTACCGTACAAATATTTTGTTAGTGCCAAAATATAAGCAAGTTTTGGCACTACCAAATATTTGGTAAGGTAAAATTGCATTTGATCATATTTGGTTTGCTGCCAAAATGTAAAATTGTAGAAAAGAATGTTCTACATAATCTCAAATCTAGATTACGTATTACCAATGAATAGGCTTCAATCGAAATCAAACACAAGTACTATTCAAATTACCAAAATATTGGTAGGGCATGTTTTTGGTAGCAATCCAAATAGGCCCTTAGTCTTACGCATACAAAAAATCACCACCATAATTAAACATTGTAATGATAAGATAGATAAGAAGTGCCATCGATACACGGTACAAATTTGTCGATCCCGACGAATCAAGCATGCGGTAACCTATCGGCCCCTTCTAGGTCGGTCAGAATGCATTGCATTCTCGTGGTCCTTCAATCGTTGATACTCTACTTGTGTTTCTGACTCTGTTATCTTCTGGCCATGATATGATGGAGTGATATTGTCGATCCATCGAGTAAATCCACACATCCTTGGATTGCCCTGTAAAAATAGTAATGTTATTCAGTTTGGGTAGTAATTTTGTGCAAATCATAGCGGATTTTGTAAATGGTTAGACATACAACGAAATCGTTGTCTACATTGGGGCAGACAAAATATCTCCTTCCAAATGTTTGTTCAGCAAAGGATGTAGCCACCTGCCAGCGATCTCTGCACCCACACTTTGGACGCTCGGACCATTTAGGTAACCCTAATGGATTGTTCCTCTAGTCTAAGCTTGCAATTTCCACCCGACGTTCGTACTCCATCCAAGCATGAATGAACTGTATGGTCGGTTCAGGTTGCGTTATCGGCCCGCCACTTGAAGTAACTCTGACTGTGTCAATCCATTGTACGAATTGACATTTCCTTACATCCTCCTATGTACATCCATTTTGGGATAGTTAAGTTAATGATAGTACTGAGGAGTGATGAAAAGAATAGTTGTAATTACCACGAAATCATCGTCGACAATGTTTGGACACACGAAACACCTTTGACCTCGAGTTCGGTGCCTTACGGACCTTATGACCTGACAACGGTCACCACAACGACACTCCGGACGCTCACGCCACGTGGGGAGTCCTAGGGGATTTACGTGCCATTCTAAAGCCTCAGCAGCAATTCGACGTTCATGCTCATCCTTCCGCCTTAGGTAGTCCGATCTTGTTTCACTACGTGGGTAAGCACGTGTTCCGTCGTTTTGTGGGTTCTCCATGTCTACCCACTCGATGAAGTTGCACATTGGACGATATGTCTGCGTAAGATGTTACAATTGTGTACGAAGAAGTTAGTTTTTTTATCCATTTGAACTTCGAATAGATGAAGCATACCTGATCAAAGTTCGCGCATTGGAAGAATCTCCTGCCCCGAGTTTGTATCATGAGGGAAGACTTGAGTATGCATCCATCCCCACAATCGCACAAAGGACGGTCACACCATGGTGGAAACCAACCAGCAAAAGGATCGCTTCGCCAGTTGAGACGCTCAAGGAATGGCGCTTCCATTTTCGTGTGTTGTGTGCTAGTGGGAAAGAAGATATGAAGAGGTTGCCTTCAGATTGTCAATTATATAGCGTCGTTTTCACTGCAATATATGTGAACTCAATGAGATACATTATTCATTAGATGTGACAAGACGATCACGCGTGGGCGTGATTCACTTTATGTCAACAGGCAGCGCCGAAAGTTGATAGTGACAACTCGAGCTGCCGCTTTTCATGTGTGCTGTTGTGGACTGTGCGCGCTACTGGATCTGACACTACCGTGAAGCGCCGAAAGTGTGTTGTCGTGAGAATAAGTTGTTCTAGCACCATATGAATGAAAAGAACTATGTAGACGAGACAAACACAAGTAGTACTGCAGTAGTAATAGCAAAAGTAGTACTGCTTTACAAGTTTGTAAGCCAAAAGAAACGGTCACATAAGGATTGAAGAGGTAGAACACTACTGACGAGGCCTCTTACCCCTGTCCCTCCTACCCTGCGCCCTAATGTGCCCCTGGGAGTACGTGAGTCGGTCCGGGGGTACAGCACGGCCAACCCGTCCTGCCTGTACAGGTGTGACCTCTGGCTGCTCCTGAGTGTGCGCCTCTGGTGCTCCTCCAAGCTGAGAGGAGCCTAGTACGTCATGGTGGTGTGCACCGTGCAAGTCGTCGTCGTAGAACTGGCTAGTAGGACCAGTCCTACCGGCGTGAGACGAAGAGGCCCCAGTACCGAAGATCCCGGCTGCAAATCCTGCTGGACAAGGACCATCAGTTTCATACAGGTATTTAATAGTATTAATAAAAAGTAAAGTACCGTGTGGGCGAGGGATCGACGCTCCGTGAGAGGAAGAGCTGGCGAACACGCCCGAAGAGGTGGCGAACGCCCCTGCGGAGCTCGTAGAAGCGCCGGTCGTGCCTGCGAACGCGCTCGAAGGCAGACGAGGTCCTGCGATGAGGAAACGTGCAGTTAAAACATGGTGACATATTCGTGCAAAAGCTGAAACAAAAATGAACTAATCTCTGGGCTGAACTGTACCGTGCGAAACCGGTGCTGTAGGTCGCACTGCTCCGAAGCTAGGGGCGCTCGAAGGCAAACGAGGTCCTGCGAGGATGGAACATCAAGTTACGACGGGGTGATGTTTTCATACAAAAACAGAAACAAAACTTAAGAAACCTCTGGGCTGAGCAGTACCATGCGAAACAGGTGCCGTAGGTCAAGGTCCTGCTCCGACGGTAGGCGCGCGAGGCCGTGGTTGTATCG